TGGGGGCGATATGCTGACTCTGTAAACTGCTTAGAGAGGGCTGAAAGCCCTATGAAGCGGTATATAAGTCTAACTGCTATTGCTATTAGCAGACTTTGCAGAGAACCAAAACAGGGCTGGATTCACACCTTTAAACCAAAACTAACAAGTATTTCGGCTTAGTACAATATGCAAATTTAGCCACATACATTTTCTGCAAATCGCACAAATGTGGAAACAAAACCTGACAGCAGCCGTTTCACCCGACAGGCAGCTCACTGGGGTGTAAATGGTGGGGTCTGAATTCTCTCAAATCAATAATTATGTACTGCCAAGCAAGATAAAGCCCATCATGGCTACAAACTCAAGGCAGTATCATGCTGTTTTTGTTTTTGTTTTAAACATGGTTAATACTGCCATTTTATTAAAGCGATAATACAGGAAGTCCTCAACGTACGACCACAATTGAGCTCAAAATTTATATTGCTAAGCGAGACATTTGTTAAATGAGTTTTGCCCCATTTTACAACCTGTCTTGCCACAGCAATTTCAACCAAACTTGGTACACAGATGGTTTATTCTGCAAGACACCCCTAAAACCCCTTGGGGTGTTTGTTCTGTTAAGATGCAGCCTGTTGTGCCTTACAATGACTTCTACTGTACAGCGCAAGTGAATCACTGCAGTTGTTTAAATCAGTAACACAGTTCTTAAGTGAATCTGGATTCCCCGTTGACTTTGTTTGTCGCAAAAGGCCATCACAGGACCCCAGGATACTGCAACCGTCATAAATACGAACCAGTTGCCAACTGTCTGTACTTTGGCCATGTGACTATGGGGATGCTGCTAATCGTCACGTGAAAAATGGTTACAACTCCCTTTTTTCAGTGATGTTGTTAACTATGAATGGTCCCTAAATAAACAGTTATAAATCGAGGATTACCTGTATTTGGATATAATTTGGACACCTGTGTATAAAGCCCCAGATGTTGCAGAAACCTTTTTGTAGCTGTCAGCCATCCAATGCAATGATGCTCACAGGTCTAGAATTCGCTATGCCTGATGTTCAGGAAGAACTTTATACAACCACAATTTGGATTGCTAAGCAGGATGGTTATTAAGCGAGTCACGGCCAATTTGATGACCTTTTTTTTTTGCCAGGGTCAAGCAAATCCCTGCAGCTGTTAACTTAATCATCAAGCAAATCCAGTCCGCACCCCCACCTGACTTTTGCTGGTTGGAAGCCTGCTGGGAAAGTCACAAATGGCCATCCCATGATCTTGGGATGCTACGATCCTTATAATAAATACATGCTGGTTGCCAAGCATCCGAATTTACGTTCAACCTACGATGATGCTTGTGCTCACATAAGCATCATTGCATATGACCATGAGGATGCTACAATGGTGTTAAGTGCAAGGACCAAGTCATAAGTCACTTTTTCAGTGCAGTTGTAACTTTGAACAATCGCTAAACAAATGGCTGTAAGTTGAGGACTATCAAGAAGCTTGCAACAGGTTTGGAGGAACACAATACAAAAGAAAAAGGAAAAAAAGGAGGAGTAGGAAAACTCTTATGGGTGGAAGAAAACTGGAAACCAGCTGAATGTGACTAAAAGAACAAAGCCGCAGCATACTGGCCAACTGTTAAGACTGCAGAGAAAGCCCAAAATTGATGGCAAGGAAAGGAAGTCGGACATTACAGACAAGGGCATGACCAGCTGACCCATGAACACAACCACTTGTATCTTCTTGTTACAAATTAGTGTTCTACTGTCCGCCAAATCTCACAAGAATCGTTAGTATAATGATGGAATTTAGCTCTGTGAAACAGTTCCTCAGTTCCGGGAAAGTAAAAACTATGAAACTCAAAACAGTTCCGCCTTGACCTTAATCCTGTTGTGTCCTTAAAAGGGGGCATTTTGGAAGGATTTTAACCGTCTTTCATAATAGTTGCATTCCTGGAATCCCTGCAGCCCTTGTTTCTCGACCGAGTCTATTTCCGAGGGCAAACAAGATGATTAAAGCATCCCGCATCTCCAAAATAAAGCTAATCAGTCAAATACGGAGAGTTAAATCGCAGCATGAAATGGAATCTGCCTTCAAATCAAGCCAACCTCAGTGAGAGAGGATAGCTTCACCATAAAGGCTTCTTCTCCAAGTCCCAAGACTTTCCTTTGGACCTTCCTTTAACCAAGTATCTTTTTTTTTCATTTAAAAAAAGTGGATTTAGTCTTTGCTTCTTGTGTTTTGACAAAAGTCCAGGAGATCTAAAAGAGAAGAGAAATAAGAAAGTGGTCAGGAGCTTTGAATCCAATGAAGAGGGTCACTAATTATAACTATACCATGGTCCCTTCGGCTGCCATTTATTTATTGGTTAAATTACAATTGAGTTTGCACAATTTGTTCAGCCAAAACCAATCTCGTTTTTATGCAAAACCAATCTCGTTTTTATCTTCCCAATTCCTTGGTGACTGGCAGCATCTCCCTAACTTTCAGGCTTCCCAAATAGGTCAAACTGTCCCATTACATGCAATGTTCCCTCTAATTTTTTTTCAGTGTGGGCGGAAAAGTATAGTGTTTGAGCGGCACATTTTCATGCCTGAACACCTGAATTTTTTTCACAGATGTCACCCAAGACCATTCTAGTTTAAACTTCCAGCTGCACTTTTTCTTCGTAACAACATTTACTCCAGCTTTACGTTTTGACATCAGCACTGACTGATGATGTACCTATAGGGTTAGGGTTTATCAATTATTACAATTCAAATCATGAATTTTCAAATTCATTTTGGATTAAATAAAAAAGAGTTTTGAAATGAATATATAAATGGCACTTAATACCACTAATATTAAAATAGTAAATGTTTGACATACTTCATTTTAATGAATTTCACTTGATATACTTTATTTTAATGAGTTAACATTCCATTGCAAAAGTTGTCTATACACTGTATGCTTTTGTGAATGTATTATATGCCATTTGCTTTTTTAAATGAGTAAAATGATTAAAATCCCCATGCATAA